TCAATGAGTTTATTCGTGATAATTACTGTGTCTCACAATGATGTTACTAAAGTCATTGTCGGATAATCTACTATACTGGTTAGTGGTTGAGTCTTCTGCATTATAGTTTAGACTTATTGAGCTTGGTGGTCTTCTATGCAATTTTCTCATCAAGATTTGCTGTGATACTCCTGGGCTATAAAATTGAGGTGTTGTGTGGTCGTGTATGCAGTGGTGTGGTCCAGGAGCTATAGATCTGGAACAATTTGGTGGTTTGGCAGTTTGATGAGGTTCAGTTGTGGAGCTGGATGTTGAAGGGTATTAGGTGTGGGCTGTGCTGTACCTTCAGGGAATCTGCCCGCCCCCATTCCAAGGCTCTAGAGTTTTCAGCTTGGATCAGTCTATTTTGGAAGACTTGGCAGTATCGTTCTTTTGGTGATGTAATGCTGGGCTGTTTCTGTGCCAGCAAGATCGCAGGTTAATGGTGTATAAATCCTTTTTATATTCTTATTATCAGTCATTAGCTGATGTTTTGCACTCTGTTATAGTTCTTCCATATACACCAATAGTGTTTGGACTCGAGGCACAAAAATTACCAGAGGTGCCACTTCCTGGCTATGGTGCCCGCACATCGTTTTAGTCATGGTTTTTGTGGGCAGGCAGGCGGGGGTGGTGGGGAGTGGTGGTGGGGGAACTCTCCTTTCGGTGGTGCATACATACATTTGTGATGTAATCAGAAATCATGTGCAGGACTCCAAAAATTAGAGGTTCCAGGTTTAAACCAGATGGTGCTGGGCACATGTGGGATACTGGTAATCACAACTTATGATCAGGTCTGGAGAAAGAGTACAAGGGCTGAGGCATTTACCTTACATGCCACTGGCTTTGGTCTTATCTCCAATAGAGCATGATGTGCCGAGCACAGAGTGGGGACAGACTCAAGCAGTCAGAAGTTGTCCAGAGCACCATGAGATGTGAAGTTCCCCCACCAAAAATAAACCCCAAACCTCAAGTGCTGGCACTATTTCTTTTGATATTAACTAATGAAGGAATGATAAAAGTATATTTGTGTATCTAAGAATATTAAAACCATATGAATTGGTATTACATCTTACATTGTTTTCTATAATTTATACCATGAGTTTAATAGAACAGTAAAGAATGATATCCTATCAGAAATATTCTAGGGGCTGGAGATATCACAGCAGGTAGGGCATTTGCCTTGCACGTTACCAACCAGGGTTTGATTCCCAGCAACCCATATGGTCCCCTGAGCACCGCCAGGAGTAATTCCTGAGTGCAGAGCCAGGAGTAACCCCTGTGTATCGCCAGGTGTGACCCAAAAAGCAAAAAAAAAAAAAAAAAAAAAAAAAAAGAACAAAAAAGAAATATTCTAGACTCTTCGAGAAAAGGTATTCGAAAGACATCCTTCTGAGTAAATAAATCAAATTCACTGCCTGGTCTTTCTCAAATGAGCCACACTGAAAGATGCTAAGCTTTTATCAATTTCAGTATTAACAACTCTCAGTAAGAAAAGTCAGGAAGATTCCTAGTGGAAAAAGTATAGTCGTCTTACTTTAAGCAGTATTATCCCCATTATATACTCTTAATGTAATAAAGTGAGATATTTATTGAAGATTCTTTGAGCTCCTGAACCAGAGGAGCTAGTGAAAGCTAAGATGTAGCTATTTTCATATCCACAGGTATTTTTGTGAGTTTTTTGTTTTGTTTTTGGGTCACACTCCGTGATAACTCGGGGGTTACTCCTACTTCTGCGCTCAGGAATCACTCCTGGCAAGCTCATGGGACCATATGAGATGTGCAGTGCAAGGCAAGTGCCTTATCCACTGCACTATATTCCAGCCCAGTTTTTCTTCTCTTAAACTAGCGTCCTTGGAAAGAAAACAAAGTTAGCAGCCATCTTCTGTTTAACACAGCTTCCCATTATTGAAATTATCCCAGATTCACGGGTGGGGGTGGGGCAGGGAGCCAGGAATAAGAATTTTCTGGGGCCAGAGAGCATTTAAAGCATTTGCCTTACAAGCAGCCAATCCCAGTTTAATCCCCAGCACCACTTATGATCCCTTCAGCATTGCCCAGAGTAAACCCTAAGCACAGAGCCAGGGTTACCGCAAGCACAGCCAGCCATGGCCCAGCCCTGCCCCGTCAAATTATCTGAACTATAAAACAACAATCTAATTGTGACTAAGCATTTCATCCAGACACAAAACCCTTTAAAATAAAATAATACTTTTTAAAGATATATATGCATGCATACATATCTATCACCTTTGAGTTGTCAGATAAAATTGAATTTTTCAGAGATTAATGAATAGTTTATTATATTTTAATAAATGTATAGTGAATCAATAAAGCAAAAGTTAGGATAATGAGCTTATTCCCCTACCAGTTATTGATTTTCAAGTTCCAAAATAGAACAGTACAGGAAGGATGGAGAAAACAATAGGATTTTAGTGACAATAAAAATTTAAGTATCTTAGGAAATCAGATCTATAGAAATCATTAGACACAAATAAATTTCTATCAGTAACCTGAGATATTTGTTTATTTCATCTTTTTGGTAATTAGAAATATTATTTGGCTTTCTTTTTAAAAGACTGTATAAAAATGATCATTACCTTTATGGTTTCACTCTTTTTTTTTCTTTTTTTGGTTATATCTTCCTCTTTTGCCTTTGACATGTTTATCTTATTAACTATCTATTTTCTTTCACTAGCTCAGTCAACCCAGTCTTCAGTAAAAAAAATACCATAGAGAGGGTGATTTTAACAGCAAAGTTCTCACAGTTCCAGATTAAGTACCCACCTGGTAGTTTCTGAAGAGGGTGGTTGTGTGCTCCTGGCTTCTAAATGTTCCCCCTCACTGCTGTCCTTGGTTAGGGCGTAGGGAGAGCAAGATGTCTGCTGCCTCTTCTTATCTGATTAATCTTTCCAAAGGCCCTGCTCCCATGGCCGCTACTAACCCACACCACTTCTCAAAAGTCTTATCTCCAAGCACCACCATCACAATTGGGGTATCTGTACTGGGAGATTGGTATATGAATTCGGGGAGCATACATTCACGGAGAAAAAAACACAGCATGGGATCCCAATCATGAACAGATTAATAACGAAATGAATGCACCAACATATTTTTAAACAATTCCAGTAAAAATTTCCCCCCCTTTCTTCTGTGCACAACAGTTTAACTCAAGGAACTTCCTTTTTTAAAAAAATGCATGATGTATGGGGCTGAAGACATAGAACATCTTGCACGCAGTTGATCTGAGTTCAGTCCCTTGATCCCATATGGTCCCTAAGCATTACTAGGAGTGATTCCTATGTACAGAGCCAGGAATAATCCCTGAGCATCGCCGAATGTGACCCCTCCCCCCAAAAAAAAAACCCCTAAAAAGTTTTTTTTTAAGGAGACGACTGCTGGACTAGAGCTGTTACCAACTGGATTCCATGGGATGTCAAAAGAACGCCTGGCCGCCCACCTACAAGATGATCAGACTTCTTCGTCAAGACCCTGAACGAACAGTTGGAGGCTCTTCGTGTTCCTGGAGTGAGCAGATGCCATTGGACTACTCTAGCACGTGACAGGGACAAATGAAGACGTTATTGGTGCCCATTTGAGCAAACTGATGACCAACGGGATGACAAGTGATACAAGTGATAGAAAAAAATTTTTATTTTTTAAAAGCTTGAGCACTAATTTCATGAAGCAGTAATTTTCAAAAAGTGAAGGGTGTTTGTAGAAGCAATGAGAAACGGAATATAAATGCATAAGAATGTTAAATAAATACAACTTTTAATACCCCTAGGAATCTTCTTATAACTTAATGCACTTGAAATTCCTTTTAAAGTTATATATTGCATATTAACATTTTCACATTATAATCTAGCTATTATTAAAAGTCATAGTAAATTACACTTTTATTCAAAATGTGGAAAGCTCAAATGGTAAAACAAACTGACAAAAACTAGATTGGTCTGTGTGAGATTCTATTTCTTTATTTTTCCCTGGTGCTAGAAATCTAACTCAAGGCTTCACACACATACAGCAAGAGCTCTACCACGAGTCATATCCCAGCCCCAGCCGTTATTCATTGTGAAGACAAATAGTTAATTTTATTAGTATTGGAGGGCTTAAGATATTTACTTTTCATTAAATATAACAAATTATTGTGAATGACTTCATAAAAATAAAATTAAATTTAAAAAGATGTTTACTTTTCAAAATTCTTCATTGAAATACTTCATTTCTCATGGGGCTGGAGTGATAGTACAACGGATATGGTGTCTGCCTTGCATGTGGCTCACCTGAGTTCCTGGTATCCCATTTGGTCCCCTAAGCACTGTCAGGAGTGATTCCGGAGTGAGCCATGAGTAACCCCTGAACATCAATGGGTGTGTCCCAAACACCCACCCTCCCCCCCCAAAAAAAGAAAAAAGTACTTAAGTTTCTCTGACAACTGATTAGAAAGCATATTCAGATCTCGCTTTGCTGGGGCCTGGACGGTACAAAGGACTAGAACACATGCTTTATGTGGAGGAAGCCTGGGGTGGAGCTCTGGCATCACATGGTCCCTTGAACAAAATGGGCTGGGTTGGAGGGCAGCCCCTGATCATCAATATCTGTGACCCTCACCCCAAACAAAACACAAAACAAATTTTCAGTGGAAGTATAGGTACAAGCAGGATGAAGTTGACGGTGACCCAGAGTTCTGATGACTTGGCAAAATGAGCCAACGAGCTGGTTCCACCGTAATGGATAGAACCCAGAATTTTCTTCCCAAAAAAGATAGCAAATTTATATATTTGAGAGGTAAGGGACGAAAACTGGATTATAATACAGATCATTCTATATCAGAAATTAAACACAGAAACTTAAAAAAAAAAACTATTTTGCTTTTTTGGCGACTGCTCCCAGCTCTGTGCTGAGGTGTATATGTTTATGTGTGGTGTGTGTGTGTGTGTGTGTGTAGGGAGGGGGGTGGGGGGGTGGGGGGAGGTGGGGAGGAAGGGGGGAAGTTGCTCCCTGAAGTGCTCAGGGGATCATATGTTACTGAAGATCAACCTGGGTCTCCTGCATGCCAAGCATGTGCTCAGAACTGTTGAGCTATCTCTCCAGTTCCAAACTTTATATTTCCTCCAAGAAACTTTAATTTTTAAAACTCAATCAAGTGTGTATACGGTCCATTGGTATCCAGTTTTAACACTTGCCTGTTCCCATAAGTGCCGTGTTCAACCACAACCCCCACTTCACTGCACTTGCTGTTAGCAGCGACTTCTTTCTCACACAGAGTCACAAACTGGGAATAGAGTTCTAACCCTTCTTCTTTTCCACAGTTAGAATGGTACTGCATACTTCTTCCTTTCACTCTTCCCCCCAGGGTGGCTTGGGGGACAATAAGAATGTTGCCAGGAAGATCCAAGATAGAGACGTGCTTGCCGTTTTCTGTCTCACTTAATTTCACATTTAAAAGTGTCTTAACTGGGTGGTGAAGGGAGAGGAAGAGAAAAGATGAAGAAAACAAAAAACCTTTAAGTCAGGAAATCTCACGTTTAATATCAGCTTATACATCTTACCCAAATTTTCTCTTTAGATTTAAAAAACTGCTCTACAGGACTGGAAAGATTGGACAGTGGTTAAGGCTCTTGCCTTACATTTGGCAGACCCCGAAGCAAGCCCTGAGCACATACTTGGGAGCAGCTTTTAAGAATTGCTGGGATGGCCCAAACACACCCCCCTCAAAACAGAAAAAAAACAAAAATACCCAGGAAGTACACAAACAAAAAGAAATTTATTATCAGAATCTGAAGAATGAATTAAAAAGTATAGTTACTGAAACCATCATCAGATAAATAAAAGGAAATTATACTTTTATAGCTAATGAAAACGGTACAAATCATCCTAAATATTCTATGAAGCAAAAACCTAAATTTAGAAATCTTTACCATTTTAACATTAACTATTTTTTTGGGGGGGGGTCACACCCGGCGATGCACAGGGTTACTCCTGGCTCTGCACTCAATAATTACTCCAGGGGACCATACAGGATACTGGGAATTGAACCCGGGTCGGCTTAGTGCAAGGCAAACGCCCTACCTGCTGTGCTATTTTTGTCCAGCCCCACATTAACTATTTTCTGAGCAATAATCAGAAGAAATGCTTGGCATAAAGTAGCATTAGGGTCTCCTTGCCTCTAAAAAGGGTCTACCGTTGATTTATAAGAAATATATTGGGGCTGGAGAGATTGTACAGTGGGTAAGGCTCTTGCACTGCATATGGCTCCTGAGCTATGCCAGGAATGATCCCTGAGCACAGAGCCAGGAGTAAGCCCTGGGTACTGCTGGGCATGGCCCCCAAACCAAAACCAAAAAGATACTAAAATCAAACAGAAATTCATTATTAGAATCTGAAGAATGAATTAAAAGTACAGAGTTACTGACACCATCATCATATAAATATAAGAAAGTATGGCATTAAAAAAAAAAAACTACATAAACTCAAAGTTTGTGCCAAAAATTAAGCTTCAGAGGATGCTTTATACTACTGGGTTTCTAGTAACCATCAAAAAGGAATCAGTAAGGCTGCACCACTCTATAAATCAAGAAAATTAACTTGATGAAAATCTGACAAATGAACACTGATGCGAATTCCAGTTTTGTTTTTCTTTGCTTTGGGGCCACACCACATTGTGCTTAGGAATCACAGGGTTGGGGGGGGGGGGCAGGGGCGAGGCGGTAGAACCAGGGTCAGTGTGTGTAAAGCAAGTGCCATTTAACCCCTGTACATCTCTCCAGTCCTTCAAATGAATTATTAGGCAACTATTAAGAAAGCATTATCCCTTCCACTTAACTAACATCACCTAAAAAAATCTCTAATTTTCTCTATTACAAACAAGACTTAGCTAGGAAGTCAGCAAAACTTACTGTGCTAAAGATTCTCTAATTCTCCAGAGTACTTCAATTCAAACACTATCCAGCTATGGTCACCTCAAGTTTGTGACATATTCATGAGGCAATTCTAAATAACAGACCAGTGATCTATGATTTATTATACTTCCATATACCTCCCTCTACTGGCTATAACTAAGAATTTAACTAATGTTGCTATACAGATACTAGGATGTACAACTAAAGGGAATACGACCACAAATGTAAGTAGAATTAAAATGAGATGTTAATGTGAGGTTGAGTTAATGTCAGGTTGAAAATTCAAAGGTTCTAAGATTATCAATCAAAAATTTCCAATGATATATATGAAAAGTTAAATTTTGATAGGTCCTTGGGTATCTGTCCAGTTATACTGAAGAGCTTAGAAAGATTCTGCATAGCTTTTTATTATTCTATTTAGGTTTTTGTAGATATAACTGATTGCTCTGTCCCAAGGGCTACAGGATTTATTTGGGAAAATCTGAATACATGTAATAAGAATAAGTGAAATCAAGGATAATCTCATCACTCTACTTACTTTGCTTTCTGGGACTGAAGTGCAAGATAATTTATCAATAATAGATAAATTTATTTTTGTTATAACTCACATGAGCAAATGGCAATCCTTAAGAATTCCAATCTATTTTTTTAAAATTTTTTTGTTTTGGGGACATACTCAGTAGTGGCTCTGGGCTTACTCCTGGCTCTGTGATCAGGGATTATTGCTGGTAGACACTTGGGGAACCATATGGATCACCAGATATAGAATCTGGGTTGGCTGTGTGCAAGGCAATCACCTTACCAGCTGTACTGTTGTTCTGGTACCCTGAATCACAGTTCTTTACTAAAATCATGATACTAAAGCTCTCTCTGATCTACATTAAGCATCTCCTCAGTGTTGTTCATTTACCACAATCTTTGCATGTGGTTAAAGTGGCATTTGTGGAAACACACAGGATTTAATCACTGTCATTATAAAATAAAATGCAATTTGGATTTGGTTATTTAATTTTCTTATGATTAAGACATATTAGTATGAAGCAAAGTTAGAAGTCAATCTTTAGTCACTATGACAAAAATTCTCTATTTCTGAATTTTACAATACATAAAGACATAAAATTCAAGACAAAATATTAATTCAGGGAAATAAATAGAATGTTCATTATCCAAGGGTTACCTAACAACAGCCCTTATTTCATTTTCTTTTGTGTTTGGTTTTGGGCCACACCCAGTGGTGCTCAGGGTTCACTCCTGGCTTGTGCTCTGGAATACTTCTGGAGAGCTTGGGAGACCATAGGGGTTACCAGGAATCAAGTGCAGGTCAGTTGTGTGTACCTAATACCCTACCCGCTCTACCACTGCTCCAGTCCCATTTCATTTTCTTAGTGAGTACTTCAAAGATCTCTCTTATTCTCTGGATTCAGATTTCAAACTTTATAATAACTGACTTCTATCCTATGTCTTGTACTGCTTTTCCTCTGACAAAGCTGTCAAACATGTTCAATGTCTCAGTATAAAATTGCCATTAGCTTTAGTTTTTTGTCTAAGTTGTTTCTCATAGATTATTTTATTTTTAGTTTCTACTAATTGAAGCTCTTCTGGTTAATTTTGGGGAAGAGGTGTGTTTTTTGCTTTTGGACCTCACTAGGCAGTGCCCAGGGCTTACTCTGGACTCTGTGCTCAGGGGTCACTCAGGTGCTCCTGGGGGGACTGTATATGGTGCTGGGATTTGAACTACTCATCTGCATGCAAGGCAAATGCTTTAACCCTTTTCTTATCTCTCTACTCCCTCTATTTTTCATTTTTTTTCTGATTAACACTCACAGTCTATTTGTATAATTTTTATTTCTAATTAATCCAAGTAATGAATGCTATGCTTTACTAATTAGAATATAGAGATAACTCCATTAGTTTAGGCTTTAAAAAGAAAGTCATTATTATTTCAAATAGTTCTGAAATTGTATGATTTGGTTTGGTGTATCTGGACCCATGTAGTGACCACAGGGTGAAAGGCTGAAAACTATGCAGGATGCTGCAAAGCTTCAGGCAGATCAGTGACTGTTCAGTGATGCCTGAACATGGACACTGTAACCTTGCTTCCTGGAGGCATGACAGTGATGACATTGATCTCAGGTCAAGCATTAGGAGAATCTTGCATTTACACACATTTTCTACAAACAAGCACATAACTGGCTCATTTCAATCCTGCACATAAATAAAGTAAATCTAAGCTGAATAGAGATGATGGGCCCCTCTGACATGTGTCAGAGGTGTCACCTATATATACCTAGTTGGTGACTCTGGAAGACAAGAGAAACTATACTAAAAAATGTAGCATCTGTTTATCCCTATGTGGCTAAGCAGCTTCCAACAAGTTTCTGTCTCCTTGGCTGAATCTCAGCGTGTTGCCCAGATGGGCCTATATTTGTGTACTTTTCTAAACCTGTCTGTAAGTCATCAGAAATGCTGAAGACACTTGCTAACTTTAAACCTTGGAACAGGGAAATATTTAAAGCCAACACCAGTACACAGAGTTATTTATAACTTTTGAAACTCACATTTTTAGAACAATTGATAATTTACATATCAGCATAATTTTAAATTGTGCTTTTTGCCTTTTTTTTCCCCTCCCCAGTTACTGAAGAGTTCCCTCTTCATTCCTACTCTAACAAAGAAGTAGTATCAAAAATCAAACACATACCCATCTTGGGAAGAAGTTCTTTATCAGCTCCTTTGAAGAAGCACACATAGATCACTAATCCTCTATGAATCTATGAAAATCACCACAGTAAACTCAGGTTAGCAAGATATTTCTATACAAAGAGATAAGTAAACATAATTTTGCAAATATACAAATAAATAGCAAAGAAAGAAAAGAAATAAGGTTTGCTTTGGGGCCACACCCAGTGGTGTTCAGGATTCACTCCTGGCAAGTTCGGGGAACCATGTGGGATACCAGAGATTGAATCTGGGTTGGTCATGTACAAGGCGAGTGCCCTATCCACTGTACTATTGCTCCAGCCCCAAGAAATAAGTTTTTTTGATAAGACATTTGATGTCTTTGTTTTTAGGCCATACCAGCTGAACTCAGGGTTTACTCCTGGCTCTGTGCTCAGCGATCATTCTGGTGATGCTCTGAGGATCACAGGAGGATTGAATCCAAGTCAGAGCATGCACCCTGTGTGCTGTACTATATCTCCAGTCCTTATTTTACATTTTAACTTCCAAAGAATTTACAGACTGTTTCATAAATTGGGTAACTGAATTTATCCCTGAGTTGAATCTATTTTCAGCTGTATTTTACAGTTTTTTTTTTTATGATCCAAATAGTCTTCTAAGCAAATACAAATGCAGCTCTGCATTCATACCAGATTAACTTGAAAAAGAAGGAATTTTTAAAAAATGCATCTGGGCTTTTGGACTAAATGGACTTCACTGCATGCCCACACTAAAGAGTTGGCAGGCTGAATGACAGACACCTGTACCACGTCATAAGCCTCTCCACTGGAAAAGTTTCAGCATGACTTAAAGGCTCAAGGATACTCATATCTGGACACCTGCAAATCAGAATTCATTATCTCTTTGCAGAAACAGAAAGTAATTGTTTCCAATCACTGCACTCCCTCATGATGGAATTCTTTTAGCTTATTCCTAAAGACCTGAAATGACCTCCCCACTTTCATTCAGAATCACTTTCTTTGTAGCTTTTTCTGGAATAAAGCATTTCAAATATATAGGAAAACATAATCCTGACTATAGCTTTAGAAAACTCTCTTTGGCTGGGATGCGGCTCAGTGTCAGGGCACATGCTTCAGAGGTATGAGGCCTAGGGGTGCCCCAGCACCAAAAGAATAATAAAGGGCTAAGGGAAGCTCATCCCATTGGGCCCAAGAGATAGTACAGCTGGGAAACCACTGGCCTTGCATGAATCTAACACAGGTTTGATCCTGGGTACCACATTTACTACCCCAGGCCTTGCTAGGAGTGACCCCTGAGCTCAGAGCCATGGATGGGAGAAATAGCTCAACTAGGCCTGAGACCTAGGTTTGATCCCCAGTACTGGCCTAATCCCTGACCACTGCCAGGAGTGACATCTCCACATCACCAGCATTAAGCAAATACAAATGCAGCTCTGCCCCCACAATGTGGTCAGGGTGTGCCCAACAAAGAGAAAACTACATACATGAAACCAAGAACTTCCAAAATAATCTTTAAAATCTGTGGCCATTATAAATGTTTAAAAAATAATTAGAACTAGCTTGCTCTTCAAGCCAGGGGTCTCCCTTGTCTTTTTGTCTTTTTGCTTATTTCCACACTGGAGAAGCCTGTGTTCTCTCTGGAACATATTTCCTCTCTTTTCTCTCTTACATCTTTCTAAGGAGGTTTCATCAATAAAAGCTACCTTGCTTCACACACACACATACCCACCACAAATTAAAAGAGTTTTTATAACAGAACAGAAAGAGGCTATTTAAGACACCACTGGAATAAAAATGACAGTCTCATCAATTACTTGCCAACTTTATACTAATGTAATAATCATTCACGGGATTTCCTATAGGAGGGAAAGCTTAAAGTATTTCTAAAGTTTATAAACACAAAGTGATGGGTTGGAAAGCTGCAAAAAAAATCTGTAATAGGAGGAGACAAGGCAATGAAGAATTAAAGAATAAAATTTCAAAAAATGAAGGAGCAACCAAGACCTTAAAGAAACGATGCCAAATCACAACCTTCGTGTTCTCCATCTGTCCTCTGCTTGCAGGAGAGAAACGTGGTCTGGAGTCATGGACTCTGTACTACTCTATTAGAAATCTATAAACTTTTTTGTGCTTCTTTACAAGAAAAAAAAACTTCCTCTAGGGTATTGGATGAATTTAGTCTTATTAGAATACAATTTAAAGTCAACAAGAATAGGAAATGAGAAACTTTCTGTGTATAATATTTCAGGAATCAAACTCAGGGCCTCACACATTCAAGGCAAGTGTTCTGACAACTGTGCTATAGCCATATACACTTTTTGCTAATGAAAATGTAAAGAAAAAAATACAAGTATTTATATTATTTTAAAATTATCAGTGGGTCAGAGACTTAAGATTTAATGATTTAAGAACATTTATGTTAAATGTTAGATCTTGAATGAGAGTTCCCTATAGTTAAGGTTTGAGTATCTCCGAAAGTCTTGGATATCAACTAATTTTTCCTCCAACTTCTCCAAAAATAATACTTCCTTTCCTCCCTCCCCTACCCCTCCCCGATCAGGCTATCTTTAATTTATACATACATAAGGGAATTATGTGTGCAACGTTTTAAGTTCTTTGGAGAAAATGTGTTTAATAACAGTGCAAATGTGAATTTTTTCTTTTCTAGTTACAAAGTTTCCTTTTTCAAAGTTTCTTGGAAATCCTCATTTCTTGGCTTAAGACCTAGCTTCAGTCGCAGGGAGATCACTGGCGAGGATTCAAAGAACGGATCAAAACTGATTCTGAAACGCTGGCCACAAAACTAACCGACTTGCGGGCAATCAAGCCCAGCACCGGGCAGCGTGAAAGGCGCGGCAAAGCCATTCGCTGGCTTTTTAGAAGTGAGACGTCTGAAAAAAGCGGGTGGCGAGCAGCGGGGTCGAGTCCCCAAGGGTCTCCTTAAACCCTAGAGGCACCCTTCAGAGAGGGGGGCGGAGGGGATGAAGTCCGCGGGAGGCGGCGCCAGGGTCGGTGGGGGCCCGACTGAGAAGTCCAGCACCGCCAGGCTGACCGCGGGAGCAGCGTCCGGCAGACAGACCGGAAGTCCCACCACCGCCAACAGCGCACGCCGGCCACCCGAGACCGGCTCCGGCCCAACGCCAGCAGAACAATCCCCGCTGGGCCAACGTTACCTCCACCCACTGGGCCACGGCGTTTTCTTCGGCGGGGCGTACTTGCAGTCGGGCGTACAGACACTGCTGCAGGAGTGCCCGAGCCTGAGGCTGGGAACCGCGCTCAGCCATGGCAGGAAGCCGCAGACCTGGTCCGGGGGCGGGCCAGGGGGCGGAGCAATACCCAAGCACGTGGCGGCTGCCCGAAGCCCCGCCCACAAAAGGGTGGGGCTTCGGCCGGACCCTGTGGTTCCCGGATGCGTGATCCACAGAAACGGAGGCGTAACCTCTGCGGAAAGGTACCAACTCTCTCCAAGAATGGATGCCTTTAAATGATTGAGGCGGAAAAAAAAAAAAGCCTCAGTCATTGGAATAGACTGATTGGTTGGATCACGTCCTTATACACCTTTTATTTATTTTTTAATGTTTTGATTTATTTTAAATTTTATTTTATTTTTATAAAGTTCACAATATTTGATTGCATTTAATCCTCGGACACCAATCCCACAACCATTACATCTTCCCAACACCATATTTCGGATGTTTCCATTCCCAACCCCAAACCCTGCCCCTAAAGCAGAACCGAAATAATTTATTTTGTATTGCTTGTTATAAATAATCTGCTAAAAATGATCCAAAGAAGGTTTCTTAGAGGAAAGTTTGTGAAGATTATTGTATTTCACCCGGGAGCCATTAAGCCCTTCTATAAGAGATTAGTAACATGTTGTTAAAGGTTGAGCCTTGTCTATATATATATGTATACATATATATATATCCTGTATAAATGTATTTCCCCTAAAATTGGTTGCCTTCTAATTTAAACCCCGTAAAATGTGGTGTTATACTTTTGATATCTTATACATCTTTTAAAGAAACATTTAAATTCAGAAGACTTGAATTTTTAGACTTAGGAAAAATTTAAATGTTCATAAATTCATCGTATTATGTCCTTTATGAAGATGGATAAAAAGAATGAGTCAATGGTATCACATAGTAAGAGAAGATGGTCCTAGAATCTATATATCAATCAAGAATTTCCTTACCTCAGTCAATAAATCAGCCCTACCTCTATCAGGAATTCTATAAAATAATTCTCATCTAGAATTGGTAAAGATATTGATATGCTATATGCAGGCAGAATTGGAGATAAATCATTTAGAAAATGCTCTGATCTTTTTGAATAATATCTGCTAAAAAACTCTTATCTGTGCCATCAGAGATACTTATCCATGCTAAAGGAGATAGTGCAAGAGGAGAATACTTTAGTTTCAGGAAGCCCTAAATTCAATCCCCCCTGTACTTTAGAAAAACACAAAACTTATTCAAGAAACTGTCTGAGTGTTTCTAATTATTAAATTGCGAGTACAAGCACGGAATTACATGTTCTGATGGTGTTTCCTGTAAGTACTTACTGTATAGCATGCAAATAAAATGAAACAATTGCTTGAACTTCTTTCCCATATAATGTATTCTCAAATATGCATCAAATTAGCATTATTTTCCTAGGAGTTTGCAAGGTTTGACAAGGAATAATAGTATTACCCTGATTACATTACCCAGGTCATTGATTTCAGCTCAGTTGGCACAATATGTCTATACATTTGGGTCTGTTGTTTTAGAAGATGACATCACTGATAGTGTTGCTATCCATACAAAATAGTGTGACTGAAGAAAATGTATGCATAATCAACTTTCTTTCTACACAAAATTGTAGCAGTCTGTTTGTTGGTTATTTTCACTTTTTGTGAAAAAAATGAAAAGCGAAATCTCACATTAGCTCTGATTGCTGTGTTGCAGGAATTTCTACAGTTGTTGACATTTGTCTGCAAAGCACAGACAAGTTGGACTGCTGAAATGTCTGCATCCTTATGCCATTATAACTATTAAGTCCCTTTTCCTCTTTCATTGCCAGACTCAAGAAGGAACTTTAGCATAGACTTGACCAAGAATTAGAAAGGACTTTTATGTCTATTGTATATGAGGGCAGAATGTAGGGAGCTCTCTTGAAAATAGGGCATAGAGTTCCCACACATCTTTACTTTAGAAAATTGTGGAACTTGTGTGTGTGTGTGTGTGTGTGTGTGAATAGACAAATTCTGGTTGGTAATGTTAGCCTTTCACAACCCTCCAATTACTTTAAAGCTCTCTATTGGACAAGGAGTTCTGGACATCATTGTGAGTTGAAATAGTTTGTGGGCCACTTATTCTTCTACCTTCAGAGGGCAGTAGAGAGTAGGAACCAAAGAGAAAATGCCTTTCCTCTGTCTTTCCTTTCTGTGTTTAAATAAAATACAGACATCTAGTCTCCACAGAAAATTTAAATAAAGAAGAGATCCATGCTATACATTGTTAACAGGTAAGTGAAAATAAAGCATAAGAAGTAAAGAAAATAAAATTTTGTCAATAAGTTCCAATGGGAGAAATAGAACAGTTAAGAATAATTTTTAACTGGAATGTTGCTAAGTTGAATAAAGTATGCAGTAGAGTTTGCACAGATATATAATTTTATTTTCGTTATAAAAATTATTGCATTATATAAAATGTTGAGGTGAAGTAGGTTGTGTAGTCTGCTTCAAATAGAGGGGAAAAGAACGCATAGTGTTCAGTTGGCTTCAGAAGAAAGTGGTGTTTTCTGAAACAAAAGAGTGCTTTGCTTTGTGAGTATGTTAAGAAATCACTGCCTGGGCAGGAGCAGTTCTCAGACAGCGACTATGCTAAGAGGGGACCACAAGGATAGTGGGCTCATTGTGAGTGCATTCTTGGCCCTCTGGGATGGTACAATAATTGAATTAGAGTTATTTTAAATTGCTTAGTTCGTTCAACTTGCTACTCACATTTTTACCATTCAAAATTTTTTAACAGGCATAAAAAAATTTGAGAACCACTTCTAAAGATCTTTTACAGTGAGTACAAAGCTTCCTAGTTGTAAAAAAGGAAAGGAAAGAAAATGGGAACTGCATTCTTTTTCCTAGTTCTTTTCTTAGATTTAGCTCCCAAATGAAGAAAAGATCAGGGACACAGCTCCGTGATAGAATGCGTACTTCTCATGCATAAGGCCCTGGGTGCAGCCCCTGACATCATACATACACACAAAGATGCAAAATGAACTCAATGTGGGGAGGTGTTAATTCATAGAAGTGCAATTAGAAGACAGAGAGAGACTGGAGGAAATCTAGCCCTCTGTTCAAAGCTTAGAGATCTGAATTCTTAGGGAGAAGATCAGGTTCTCAGAAATTGGTTCATGCTAATTCACTAGCTCATGAAATTAGGATAGAATTGAAATACTCATTTCCTTATTTATATTAATAAGTATTGCTGTGACAGGGAGTAGAAAGTCTCACATATGGCATGATCAAACATTTCTTCATGTATTGTAGCCTGGAATTATACTACTACTTAGAATTCCCTTGATGAATTGATGGAGAGGTTATTTTCTACTGGTATATCTGGGGTGCAAAAGACCTGTATGAATTCTGGTTTCTTGGCACTTGCCATATACTTTAAAACTTTAAAGAAAGGAATAAAGGGTTGAATAAGAAGTCCAAAGGAAAATGCTCCAAGCTACATCTGTGTTTTTTTGTTTGCTCATAAACGGGATTTTACTAGGCTGAGTGTTAATCTATTTGAGGTCTCAACTATATGGAAATATAATGCATGGGAAAATGATAGCATCTGCCTAAGCAGAGTCTCCCTTTATAAACTGGTTAGTTTGCAAAATTTGGTTTGGAAATTGATAATTGACTTTTCTGAGGTTCAACTTACATTTTAGAATTCTTATTTGATTAGTACTCCGTGTGTTGGTTTGTTGTCAAAGTAAAATTGCATAGCAAGCTCTAAGGGAATGATGTATGTTGTTGACATTCCGTAGAGTTTTCCTAGGATACTCTGAATCTTTGTGTTATTTTTCAGTTCATAGTGTTGTGATTAATTGAAAGGCATTGCATAATATTTGAATTATTCATGAACTACTACTGTTTGAATTTTTGTCAAGTCAGGTCAACCTTATAATTTTGGTACCTATATACATTTTTAGCAAAAAAGAAATAATGTGAACGATCTTTAAATGGGAAAAAAAGATCCTAGGTATCTTTCTAATGGAAGTTGGAACCTCTGAGGATTATCTTGTCCTAAATATAGACAAATAGTAATTTTCTTTGACTAGAATTTCTTTCAACTCTGTAAGAAAAAAACTAACTTTTGTTTTTTGAGCCACAAGTTGGTGGTGCTCAGGGGCTACTCCTGGCTCATGGTTGAAGGTTGTTCTCAGCTATGAAACCTGGGTCTCCTAAACTTGGGTCTCCAAAGCCTGCAGTACAACCCTTTGGAGTATTTCCTTGGCTTCCCAAAATAAAACTAATACTTGAAGACTGAGAGTTAGCAAATCACTCCTGTATCTAAAAATGTAAGATTGTGTCGAATGGAATGCACTTTATTATTATTCTGTGGCTTTTTTTTTTTTTTGCTTTTTGGGTCACACCCAGCAGTGCTCAGGGGTTACTCCTGGCTTTGCACTCAGGAATTAGTTCTGGCGGTGCTTGGGGGACCATATGGGATGCTGGGAATCAAACCTGGGTCAGCCGCGTGCAAGGCAAACACCCTACCCGCTGTACTATTGCTCCAGCCCCTATTCTGTGGCTATTGACTAATTTCAATCATGTTGTTCTCATTTATAATTAATTTTGGCACTCCTTATCTTGACTTATTTTTTTAAATCAACCTTTATTGTAGAATAGATTTAGCTTTATAGAAAATTTGCAAAGAGTTCTACCCTATACCTTTCACGTAGTTTTCCTTATTGTTAACCTATCAAATTATAGTTTGTCATAATTAAGGAAGCAGCACTGGTACAATAAACAAACTCCACACCTCATTTAAATTTCATCAGTTTCCCCCTAAATTATTTTCCCTTAGGCTCTGGCATTTCCCAGACTTTCCTTATTTTTTATGATACTGAGAGTTTTAGGGCATTCTAGTCAGCTATATTGTTAAAGGCTACTCTATTAGAATTTGATGGGTTTCTTTTCTCATGATTAGACAGGATATACAAGATTTTGGAGGTCAATCACAGATGTCAAGTGACATTCACTCCCATTGGGTGTAGTGTGCATGTTGTCAACATGTCTTACCTCCAAAGAGGAACCTTTGAACCTGGCTTAGG